ATATTTAGTAAAAAAAATAACCAGGAGTAATATATAATTTAGAGAAAAATGACAATCAATACAGCTCTAAAGTATAAAAATACTTTTTTATTGTAAAATTTCCATCCATAGAATTTATCATCTACAAACTTTATATCTCAAAAACATACGTTTGCCCTGAAAATATAAAATTATGTACAAAATGTTGTTCATAATGACAGTCGTCTTCGAGTATAGAATCCAGAGGTTAGCAGTGAATATCTTGAAGACAGTAGGAAAGCGTTGTTGAGGTTAGCAGTGGATTTTGGTAAAAGTAGCAGAGCGTAGTTCTTCCTTCTGTTTCTCTTCGCCTGACAAGCTGGCACTGGACATTCGGGTAGAGTAGACAAAATGGCCGCCTTTATACACGACGGATTGAATATTCTACGTCTTCCGATTGGTTAACCTTCTATTGTTGGACTATAAAGCGAGTCAAGTCATTTGGGCTAACTCACTAGTACATAACATATACACAAAAAAACTGCAACACGAAACATCTGTAATGAAAGCCATAAAAGTGTGTATAAAATATTTAGATTTCGGCATGAAATAACCTATAGATGTTGATATGCCGGTAAACAAAAATAAAACAAATTCTCTCCGTTTAAAAGAGCCACATCAGGTCTAAAATGGAGTACTGATGCCATATTTGAGACGGGGGTGTTCAGTGCTCACCTTCCGGTCTCGACAGACTCGAAAATCGGCACCGAATCCTTGTGGATGACAAATTGTTTTCCACCATCTCTCTTACGAGAAGGATGTTTCAAACCTCTCTTTTCTACTGTCACTACATCTATGGAAATTGCTCGGACGAACTACCTTCACAGCCAGGACATGCCATGCCAAATACATAGTAGCAAACCACTCACATTCCCTTCTGTGGAACCAACTCCCAAGATGTTTACCCAATTACGACAATCTTAATCTATTCAAGTCTAGAGTTAACCGTAATCTTCCTCTCCTGTCAGAATAAACCTCTTAATGTAAACCTCTACCTCGAGTCATCCCTGGACCTTGTACAGGGCTAACCTTACTCTAAAAAAATATTTCTGCAAGAATATTATCAAATTTATACGTATAGAATTAACAATATTCTTGCTGTAATCGTACTGCAATTGCGCTATTCTTACATCTGTACGCATTGCATCTGTAGAAATATTTTAGAAGTACAGATGTACGATAGTAGCAAGAATATTGTCAATTTTGTACGTATAAATTTGACAATATTATTGCTACTATCGTACAGTAATTGCTCTCTTCTTACATCTGTACGCATAACATCTGTAGAAATATTTTTTAGAGTAAGGTTCACCGTATGCAAGGCCCGAGGGCCACTCGAGGTAGAGGTTTACATTATGAGGTTTATTCGGACTGAAGAAAAGAAAGTGCATTTAGGGTACCATCGTAGTAAACGTAATTATCTTGTTAAAAATAGAGAACTGAAGGTTTATGCAATACCGGCCCTCCTCTATGTTAGTGAATTCTGGGCAATCCTTTCAAAGACGAAGAAGAGCCTCGAGCGAAAACGAAGGTAGATCTAGAGAAGGATAATTGTCAATACTGAACAGATGAGGGGCGCCAAAGCTTTAGGGGACATGGGAACAAAAAGGTCACATATTTTTCGATTAAGAAAGGGAGAGTCGACATTTGGGGGGGGATTTTGACATTCACAGGATATATTAAAGGCAAGAGGAATAGAGGTAAACAGCATACTCTACCTGACGAGCTTGTGTACATAGTTGGCGCAACAGGTATTGACAGGTATAGCAAAAGGATAAGACTTACTCACAGCTACAAAGGACAGGAAGTTATAGAGAGCCATGATCGCCTATGTCTTGAAGGGTCATGGCACGAAGAAGAAGAAAAAAATATATAATATATATGTAATACTATTAATATTTCAAAAGAAGAGTTCAGTTATCGTAAACTATAGCAAAGTGTGTAAGACAAGGATGTTTCTTTTGACCGGAGTTATTTAACCAATACAGCGAGGCACTTCTGAGAGGTCCTACCAAGATTCATTAATCGCGGTAACAATCTTAGCGACATAAGATGTGCAGGTGACAAATTATTGATATCAGACACGGAAAGAAAACTACAACGCCTCCGACAGATGATAATGAAGGAAAGCGAGAGGAAATGACTAAACTTCAAGAGGAAAATCCTAACTGCAAGAAGACAGGATACATGGTTGTTTGGAAAAGTATGAGCCCAAAATGCCAAAATCAAACGAATAAAAAAATTAAATATGCGTGAAAGACACAAAATGCGACATTGAAATCCAAAGTTGCATTGGGATAGCTAAAGATACATTCCAAAAACTAAGCAAAATAATAAAAGACAAAAAGCTTCGTTAAGAACAAAGAAATGGCTACTGAACTGATATAAGATATCTGTCCTATTATATGGCAGTGAATGTTTGATAATGTCCTCAAAGATGACGAAGAAATTTGAAGCAACAGAAATGTGGTTTTACAGAATGATGCTGAGGATACCATAGACCTAAAATGAGAGCAGCGCTGAGGTTTTAGAGAAAATGGAAACAAAATGGAAACGTATATTTAACATCTGGAAGAGAAAGTTGAAATTTCTGAAGTACATAATGAGAAAGCCGGTCTTGGAAATTCTGATACTCACAGGACAGATTAAGGAAAAGAAGGACAGGGGAAAACAGCGCATGACATACTGAGTTAGCTTGAGTAAATGAATGGGGGAAGAGGGTTTAGGAGAAATAGCAAAAAGACAACATTTATTATGAGTTACAAGGAACAGAAAGTTGTGGAGGGCCATGATCACCACATAAAAAAGAAGTGCTTGGAATAAAGATATTGATATATATGTCATACATTTTTTATGATGAAGCAAAGTAAAAAAGTGACGTTGCATTACACCTCAAGTATGAATAATAACATTATTATGCATAGTATATATTTTTAACACCATTGGTATTGATTGCAAAAACAAGCCATTGACTCCACCATATTAGGAAAGATAATATCGTAGTTATTTATAGCTTATATTGTAAACGTTTTTAGTATGTCGTGAAGTAAAACCTGCTATTACTGTCCGTTAGTAGCAGCTTTTATCTTTCACATGTTGAATAGGAACTGAAGAAATAAATCAGTTATTTTACATCAGTCGAAAGTATAATCACTATTAAACATAGCAGGCATTTTTAATAATGTGTGTATGAACTGAAAACAGAAAAGCAATTTTCTTCTCCGTAGTAGCAAAAGGATCCATTTTGTTACATTAGGGTGTTCGGAAAGTAATTAACCATTTCACTACAATAAATTATGAACCAAATAAGCAAGAATTAGAAACAAAGATAAATAGTAAAAAAATATGGTTTAAATAGTTAGTTGTCTCTTCTATAGAATGGCATATGTTTTACAATGACTTTAATGATTTAATTTGAAAATTTTGGAAATATGAAATTTAGAATCCATATGAAATTTTGCTTGAGTCACAAGGTTCAACTTATCTGCGGCAGTCTTAATAAAGATGGCTAAGCTTCAACAGTTTAAGGCTTTGTTTAAGGCGATGAAAAATGGGTTTCGCAATTTAATTTAAAACGAAAACTCATTTGGTTATCATTAAAGAAGAAACCGGATCCAGCACCAAAGCCAGGGCTCGATCCATAGATATCCTTGTTATGCATCTGCTGAAATATGAAACGTGTCGTACGTGTTTGAAGAAGGAACAATCGTCTCTACAGATGTTTAAATTGATTGGCAAACAAGCATTACATGTAAAATGTCCTGCGTTGGTAAAGAGAAATGTCGTTGTCAACATGACAAGACACACACTGCAGAACAAGCCCAAAAAAATAAGATCGTTAGGACGAAATGTTCTCCCACATCCACCATACTCACCGGATTAACATAAATATATTTGTTTCGATCATTAGAAAATTTCTCAAGTGGCAGAATATTCACAAAGTTGAAAAGAGATTTTGACATATTTTGTTCAATGAAGAACCCACATTTCTTTAAATCTAAAATCAATAACACATCTTCCTGCTCAGCTGTAGCCATTGAAAATGAAGGTTATTACATATTTGACAAATAGTCTACATAAATAAGGCAAATTTTGTCTGTCCGTCCGTGTGACTTAAGCCCCTCTAACACGGGCCACATTTGCTCTACAGAGACATATTGAAGATTTGTGGAATCAGATGAACCCGAGATTAAAATCCACCCTTCATCTGCTTCTTGAACATCCAGCATTGGGATTTGTGTCCGGCTCAGGAAGGAACATTTAAAAACTCGGATTTTAAAATAACTGAAAATTCAATGATTTTAAAAGATTTTAATTTATATTCAGTTTAAAGTAAGACAAACTTTTTGTGAATTATAACATTTTTTGGTTTTAAATTCAGTTTAAAATGCATCCAATGTTTTATGAATTCTACCACTTTCAAACGACCGTGGTAATTCCCACGGGTCTATCCTGGTCAACATGGCACCAAATCTACCACTTCGTCTCCAGCTTTTCCTCTTAGGGTTGAGTTGTCCACTCGGTCCTAACCGAACTTAGGGGTAACTGGCCGTACGCTCCCTGAGTACTCGTAGATTGTTTCGACTGGTCAACTGGTCAAGTCCTGCTCACTGCCCAAGCTGTGTTAGTTTTTAGATCCCGTAAGCGGGGTGTTGTCCATACGTTCACGGTGGACTGGGGGTGTGGACACGACTTTGAGAGTTGGCGCTAGGAAGCTTAGAATGTGGCAAAATAAAATAAGAAATAATATCTGCAGAAGCCAGACAACAATGGGGGAAATAGTGACGTCTTTTATATAAGATAGCATTAGAACTGAGGTTACAGGGAGAATAAAAACATTTAACATAAATGAAAAAAGAAAAAGAAAAAAGACACAATGCATCAAGCGAATTCCCAACAGAGTGAAGGTTTGTGTGTGATAAACGCGTATTGAATCGCCTGGGGTAGGTTTATGACTAGTAGTCCAATCTCATACAGACTTCTCAGAACAGGCGGCAGTCTTCCTTCTCTAAATCTCTCGTGACTCTCTCGTTGATGGTTTCGTTCCCCGACTCTCTCTCCCGTCTGCTTGTAGCACCGTGACCCGTAATGGTCGCCTGCGGGTGCTCACGCACGTGACGGCAATGTGCCGACCGATCGCGGTCTCTCACCTCTCTCTCTCTCCCGCCTGGCCTCTTCCGTCTCGCTCGACCGTCTGCTTCAGAATTCTCTCTCGACTGTTGCCTTTCTCGGCTGCCTTGTAGCGCCGCAACCCGTAATGGTCGTCGGCGAGTGCCCAAGCAAGTGACGGCAATGTGCCGACCGGTTGCGGTCTCTCCCGTCTCTCTCCCCGTCTGGCCCCTTCCGTCTCGCTCTCCCGTCTGCCTTCCTCTCCGGCATAACTACGCTGGTTTACATAGATAAATCTGTTTGATCATGAATCGACCCTTGGCTCGGCACGCGATTATCATGAGTACCAAAAACTATCACTTGACATGTAAACCGATTCTCCAATAATTTACTACGAGTTCTTCTCATTTCCCCAAAATTATACTTTGGGATATCTAAACATTGATTCAACCTTTTAATCAAAACAATTACTGCTAAACAAAACCAAATATCTTACAGCCTGAGTAAGCTCTATTTCAATTTTTAACCGATAAATTTTATTTAGATCATTTTTTCATTGTCTTTTCTAATGACCCAGATTTAAAACATCGCCTCCTGCCTGAGATCGTGTTTCTCATCGGTAAACACACATCTTAACCCAAATTGTACTTTGATATATAAACAAAGTTAAAGTGAGATCTTTTGTTACATGAGGGTTTGAAGTTCGCACTATTTTGATTTAAAGAATTCGTCCAAACTGAGGTTCCGTGGAGTTTGTTATTTGTAGAACTCAATTTTCGGTCTTGATTGGAATTTCGGCCCAAATCGGAACTTTGGCCTAAACTTGTCTCTTGGCCCAAATCTGTCTTTTGGGCAGAATTGGACTTATAACACGAATCGGTGTCAAAGAGAGGCTATGAGGTTCCATGGAGTGAATTGAGGAATCCATTCTATCTTTTAGAGTTGTTTCTTAATCTTTCTTGGTTTTGGTGAACATTTTTTCACTATAAGAAATAGCCACTCAAGTCACTAACCAGATGAAAGGGTACAAACACGCATCAGAACCACTTAAGGCATCTATTATTGCCCTCTCAAAAGCAGGCAAGTCTATGAGAGAAATTGCAGAAATTGCTATAACTTCGCAATCAACTGTGTCTCGAGTGCTTAGGGCACATAATGATGCCACTCTTGTTCCAAGGAAGGAAACAAGAGGACGAAAGAAAAAGATTGATGATAGAACTGGCAGGGTAATCAAGAGAGAAGTTGCGAAGAATAGGACTATAACTAACCAAGAAATTGCAGCCAGTCTAAGCGAAAAGCAAAGGTGTTAGTCTTGCCTCTTCAACAGTCCGTCGGTGGCTACAAATCTTGTACACGAAAGTTTAAGCCGCTAATAAGCAAAGCTAACAATGCCAAGAGACTTGAATGGACTCACTATTACAAAAATTTCACAGTAGAAGACTGGAATGATGTTCTCTTCTCCGATGAAACGAAAGTTGAGCTAAATTCAAAGAATAAGGTGAGTCACTTTTATCGAACAGCACTGTATATATTTATGAGCTAACAGGTTTCTACAGCGCCAAAGCTTCCCACTGTAATGTCATTTTTGCCTTATTTCTTTATCCCCACGCTTTCATTGTCGAATAATAATGATTTTTATTTCGTATCTGTTTATTTCTAATTGTTCTTGAGCCAGGGACATGGTCTTATTGAGCATGGTTTCTTCTATAGAAGGATAGAATTCTTTTATATCGAGTTGTTATAAATCGGTAATTATTTATTCTTTTTATTTTACGGAACAAGTCTATATTTATTTTGTGTTTTTCTTCTGATTTACCCCTAAGTTCTTCCCCGCGTCCAGGGTAAGACGTTAAACTACATCCGCGTCCAGGGTAAGACGTTAAACTACGTCCAGCAGCAAGGCCTCTGTTCAGAAGGTTTTGAGGAGCGTGAAACCACCTCTTAATTGCTAGTGTTCCCAGGTCCCCCGCCCCTGACCCGGGGTGGTAGCAACTGTTAGGGTCCCAGTTATGGGCAAATGGTTGACTATTACCAGCAATACATTTTGAAATAAATTATTACCTGCAAATCAATTTTGAAGGAAATATATTACTAGAAACAGATTTTTGACAAAACAAAATATTACCAGCAATAAAAAATGTTATTGGCATTAAATAAACCATTGAGGTTAATATGCCGTAAAACAAAATAAAGCAAACCAAACCTAACTTCTTCCTTAGTACATTCTTTCTACTAGATTTACCTAGATCACTTTTGGATAAGTTTATGATTCGGCGTGTTGTTTTTTTGTTTTTTGTTTTTTTTTTGTTTTTTTCTGAAAGTTTCTTTGTGAACTTTTTAGTGTGTTTCAGAACAAACCGAACGTGCAGACCCAACCAAAAGTGAACTTGGTAAATTGAATAAAATAATACTAGACAGAAGAACTACTATTTTCTCTCTGGGAGAGTAGCAATTAAAATGCTAGAATATCTTTCAACGTAGGTATTTTCATACCCTACAATACCTATATTTAAATTCATTTGCGGCTTAGATTGAGCACGTAGTTATTAAATGATCTATAGTTTACTCAGTGTTTGTAGAAAAGCGATATGTTGGGCCTGTCTCATTCATTAAAACTTATAACTGGAAGGATCTTCTTTGTTGATTTCGATCATTAGCTGTTGTTGTTCTTAAATATTATTTTTCGGTTTTAAAACATCAACATGCGAATTCTTCATAAAAAGTAATTTCCTTTTTTGTTATAGTATCTGTGAAGAATTAAAAATCTCTAAAATAAATTAAGACAAAGCATTTGAAATATTTAACGATAAAATCTCATTGATAGTAATTTGGAAGCGCAATGCGATTCACGTTCATAGGCAGTTAATAAAACAGATCTTTTTTTTCGAATTTTATTGTTTTCCCTTTATTCCTCTTTGTACATCATTTTACTGAACGTTTTCCAAAGTAATGAATTCTCATTTGCAATTCATATTCTCCAGTCGAATCACAATTCAAACTATCTTAACGATGTAATTCAATTTAGAAAAGGTAACATAATATCCTGTGTAAGTATTTGCAGCTGATTTAAATTGAACTTCAGTCAAATATTATTCGATTTTTATAAATATATGAGTTTATCAGTATAGGGTAATGTTCCAAGATTTATAAGGAACTTACAAAGACAGAAAAAGAAATAAGCTTAAATTATTTTGAGTATTTCATAATATACGATAATTAATGTTCACTTTGTCTAGGACAAGGGTGGACACAATTTGTCTGAGACAATAGAAATTTTTTAAGGGTAGCTTAAATGTGGTACATGACCGAATTATGGGGCAACTAGTAAGGATCTAAATCATTACTCAGCAATATTTGATTTACTGAGACAAGCTTGCTAAATATTACACAATGTCGGGGGTGGGGGGTGGGGGGGGCTCACTGTGACGCATGAACCTAATAAAATAATAATGTTTAATATTGTTAAATTGCTTCACTAAAATGAATCGAAACATAGATATTTAATATTTTCTTTATGTATATACAAACACAGATGGGAAAAAGTGGGAAATTATCATTTAAGCGTTCATACTGCACCCCAAACAAATATATACAGAAAACAACGTCCCTAATTTTCCTCTCGAGGTCGATATAATAATTATGAATGAATCGGGTGTTATGACAATGAAATAAGTATTCATAGTTAAGATAAGGATGATGTTAAACAAAATAGCAATATTCTTTACTAAATATTCCTCAAAATAGAAATCAAGGTATACATTTCTAAAACAGAAACTATGAAACAAAAGCCTTGATGGCACATACCTTGAATTCATCATAAATCTTCAGGATGTGGAATTAGTAAATACTAAGCACTTCAAATTTAGTATAGGATAAAAGAAAATTGAACATAGTATAAGCTGCGCTAGGAGCACTTTTCTCCAACACTGTAAATTGCTACAAAATCAAAACTACACCTGATTTTCCCCTATCGATGTTATTGGTCATAATCTCTAAATTAGACTCTAATAAAGCAAGTGGTGATGACGGGATACCAGCCGTAGTCCTAATGAAATGTGTTCCTGAGCTGGCTCCAGTTCTCTCCAAACTATATAACTATTGCCTCAATGAAGCTTTTTGCCAGCCTATTGGAAGTCCATATGTATTGTCCGTGATTTTAAGAACACTGGAGACCCTTCTGATCCATCTAACTACTGTCCTGTCAGTCTTTTACCTTCAGCAAAGTCTTCGAGGCTTTAATCAATGCCGAAGTGTTTAAGCACCTTACGCCCCATGATCTACTCTCCGACAAAAAATATAGTTTCCGCTTTGCCTGGTCTACTGCTGACATGCTTACGGCTATAACTGAATTTATATATCAAACTCTTGATAATAACGGCGAATCTCAAGCTGTAGCTCTGGATATCTCTAAGGTGGTTGATAGGGTTTGGCATACCGGTCTTCTTAGTAAGCTTCAGGGATACGGTTTTACAGGATGATTATTTGATTTAATCAAATCATTCCTACCAAACCGTGAAATGAAGATCGTCCTAAACGGGTCCTCCGCCAGTTACTTTCATACGAATGCTTGTGTTCTCCAAGACTCTATCCGGCCTCCTACAATGTTTCTGATTTTCATCAAGTAGGCATCTATGCAGACGACACTACTATTTACTCCTGTCAAGTAAATCCGGTATTGTTGACAAAATTAACCTGGCTGTTAGTCTCGAAAAGACTACATCTGTGGTTGACTTGGGCAGGAAATGCCTTGTAAACATTAATGCCTCCAAAACGAATCTGCTCTCATTTACCCACCATGGATAAACCTACCTGATTCCTATCAGTATGGCTGATGCTCAACTCCACAAGAGCGTCTCTCTGTGCCTTCTTGGTCTCACGTTTTCCACTGACCTGAGGTGAAACAACTACATTGAATCAATAGCGTCATCTACCGGAAGGAAAGGTTTTTCTCGCTTGAGTCCATCCTTCAAATCTACAAATCTACCATTCGATCTTGCATTGAATATTGTTGCCATATATGGTCTGGTATCCTCGTTGTTCATCATGAGGTCGTCGACAAAATCCAAAGACGGAAATGCAATGTGATAGGTCCTGACCTGGCATGTCTACTCCACTCATTTTCTCATAGACCTGATGTGGCTTCCCTCTGTCTTCTCTACAAATATTTTCATGGCAACGGCTTTGACGAGCTACTTTCACTGGTACCCCAACTACATGAATTTAAGATTGCTACTAGGTTAACATCTCGGTCACTCTCCAAACAGTAAAATGT